AACAGGGGGATTGGGCCGATATTGGAGCCGCCGTTATTGATAGGACCCGCGCCGGAGCGGGCCCGGATGGCACCGCGCGGCGGGACCGTCGCGGACGTCCCCGAAGGAGGCCGGTTCCTCGAGGCCTCCGCTCACCTGTCTCCATCATGCGCTTTATTCGCCGCGACAGGGGCTCGCGGCCGGAATTACTCTGCTTATGGAGCACATTTTTCATCCTGTAACAATTTTAGCCCCCCGTCCCCCCCGCCGCTCCGGAGCTCGGGAATGGCCGGGCCCCGCTTCCCGAATTCCCTGGGGAGCGGAGGCCGGGAGAGCGGTGCTTGGTGCTTGTCCTAATCCCGTGACATTTTTGTCCCCAAAGGTGCCAACCCGCTCCAGAAGAACGACCTGGGCCACACGCCGCTGGATTACGCGCGGGAAGGGGAGGTCATGAAGCTCCTGAAAGCCTCCGAGACAAAGGTGAGCCCAAAATCCCTGCGGTTCCGTGTTCCCCGGATCCGCGTTCCGGAGGAGCCGCTGCGGCTCCTTCCACGCAGTCAGTTAGTGCCTTACTGCACTTCCAACATTCCGTGCTTTTTGGAGGAAGTATTCACAAATAATCCGGATTTTGTACTATCCCGAAGCACAAAACATTGCAAAAAGCCCCTGTAGCTGCTCCCAGGGTTATGTGCCCTCCTCTTCCACATCAATATTCATTCCTTGGCAGGGAGATACACAGGGCGAGTGATACAATTCTGTATCTCTAGGCAAAAATGCGGTGAAATCAGGGCTTTATTTTCTAAAATCCCTGGAAAACAGAAGCAGATCCTAGAATCACGATCCAGCCGCAGGATCCATGTGCTTGTTTGAACCCCGAGGTGAGGAACGTGCCCGTGCTTGATGAAAGCAGTTGTTTAGGAGCATATTTGATAGGAATCACCTGGAATTACGCCTGCCGGGCAGGCAAAACCACCGTCTCATTGGGAAAATCCCTGCTGGAGCTGGAATTCACAACGGGATGCCCTAAGGGAAAAGCAACACTCCTTGTGCTCGCACAAACAACGTGTTTGGAGAAGTTCTAGGGAAGTTGGGACTAAAACACTTGAAATCTTGAGGAAAAGGGGAAAAATTACCTGCTGCTTAAGTGGCCTCAGGAGCCCAGCAAGAAAACCTTGGAAAGCCACGTTGGTTTTTATGCTTAACTAATAGATGGAGGAGAGAAAGGAAATATATCTGGAGAGATGTTGCAGGAAAATGATTGTCCTGGTGTATAAAACATCAGCCCGTGATGGATATTGGGCCGGGGGGGACGCGGTGCCGGAGGGGCCGCATCCACCCCAGGATCCACGTTCCACGGAGAGTCTTTGAGAATTTATTGCTCATTTTAATCACTGCCACGGAATGAATTGGCAGAACCGTTACGGGGTGGGCACGGCGCATATTTTTTATTTACATATCCCCGTGACAGAATAACAAGGAGTTTTCATATGTGTTTTTAATTTATTTGGGTTGCGTTTGTTCTTTTAAGAAGAGCAATGCAGCTTTCCCTGTGCTAGACAGCCCTGGCTTGGCGCTGAGGACTCCAGTTGGTGCTGCTGAATCCCAAGGAAAAAACATTCCCAAAGTCCCCGGAGACTTTCATGGTTTTATAACCTGGTTTATGGCCCAGGTTTTGCAGCTGAGCATAAACTTATCGCCCTGGTTTCCTTTGCTCTTTTGGAATCTTTCTGTGTCCCGGGTTAAGGAGGTGTCCTCGGCACGTGCAGGTTTTCTGCTGGTGCTTTTGCACCTCATCCCGGTGCGGATTTCCCTGTAAATCCGGGAGGGATCGCGCTGCACCACGAGTGATCACACAGAGCGTCCCCGAAAGTCGCCGAAATGCCGGTTTTGCACCATAAAAGTTTATGAAAGAGGCATTTTCTGAGGGTGAGAGCAGAGTCCCCACTGAGTGAAGATGAGGAAGGGACCGGAGCAGCCGTCGTGTGAGGAAGGACCGAGCGAGCGGGGCCTGTCCAGCCTGGAGAGGAGCAGCCTGAGAGGGATGTGACCAACATGGACAAGGACCTGAGGGGAGAGTGCAGGGAGGACGGGGCCAAACTCTCCTGGGTGGTGGCCGGTGCCAGGACAAGGGGTGCCGGGGCCAAGCTGAAGCCCAGGCAGCTCCATGTCGAGGTGAGCAAGAACTTCCTTGGTGTGAGGGTGCCGGAGCCCTGGCACAGGCTGCCCAGAGAGGCTGTGGAGTCTCCTGCTCTGGAGATCTCCAACCCGCCTGGATGCGCCCGGGTGCCCCGTGCTCCGGGTGTCCCTGCTGGAGCAGGGGGGATCCCGGGAGATCCCTGTCAACCCCAACCATTCCAGGATTCCGGGATTCAGCCATTCCGAAAAGACAGAAATAGATTCTTAGCAAAAACCAGCGTTTGGTTGGTCAATACAATGCAAAATCCAAGGTTTTTGGCGTTTTTCACTTCGTCAGTTTTAGTACAGCGAGGAGGCCACGTCGATGCCCCATTTTAATGGCAGGTTTCCCCGGAACGAGCCCAGGTTTCGGGAAACCTTGGAAAAAGCAGCTGGAGCACTGGGGTTGCCTCCCACCCAGAGCCTTTTCCAGCGCTGCTTTTCCAAGGAAAAACACAGGGAGAAGGGGGATCTTTGCAGCAGAGAAGCCTCCTCTCCTTTTAAAATGGTTTTTTTAGGCAGTTTAAATGATCGGAGCGTTTTTGTGCACGAGTTACTGCAAACCACAGGGATCGAGCCTGGAAAAGAGGAGGCTGGAGGGGATGTTTTCATGGTGATAACACCATGCAAGAGGGAAACAAATACAGGCGGAATAATCCGAGTCTTTCCAAGTCTTTCCTTAGGGAATTTGGGAAATGTTCCCTATGGGAAAGGGTGGACGGTTGTTCCCAACGGCGCCGTTTTTCCCTGCATCCCGCAGTTCCAGGAGGAGCAGCGCCGGAGGGAGCTGGAGGAGCGCCGGCGCTTCCCGCTGGAGCAGCGGCTCCGGGAGCACATCATCGGGCAGGAGAGCGCCATCGCCACCGTGGGAGCAGGTAGGATCCCGCCTCGGGAATACCGGGAATGCCGGGATGATTCCCCAGGGCTTTTCCCTAGGCTTTCCTGGGATGATCCCAGGCTTTCCGGGGCGCAAGGAGGCTCCAAGGCCATCCCGGTGCCACCGGAGCGCGGGCAGAGCCGGCCGTTCCCTTCGGACCTTTGCTCCGGAGCCTCCTCCGCGTTAATCATTCCCGAGCCGTGTCCCGGGGGAATCCGTGCGTATCCCGCGGCACGTGTGGGGAATCCGGACCAGCCGCAGGGCCTCGGGGGCCATAGGGAAGAACCCCTTAGCAAGGCAGATCCCGAGGGATAGTTGCCTGGTTTCTGGGGAAAACGGGATCATTTTGGGATAGGCAGGATGGATCCCGATCCTCCTCTGTCTTCCAGCTCTTCCGTCCTCGTCTTGGTGCTGAATCCGATGCCAAAGCTCGAACTTTGGCTTCCTGCCTCTGCCCTTTCCCTGCTCCGTTCGATCCCTAACATTCCCTTCCCTGCACCTGCCAGGGAAATTCCCGAATTGGGGCATTTCCAGGCCTTTTCCCTGAGCTTCCAGCCCCACTTTTCCCTCATGGAAAGAACTAAATAAGCAAAGAGGAGGAGCCCGGCCTCCCGCGGCTGCTCCGTGCCAATCCTGGAAGCCCCTTCATCCCAGTGCCGATTCCCGGCACATCCCAGTGGAGATGCAAAGGTAGGAAAACCCGGGATGAGCTCGGGACGGAGCCAGGCTGCAAAACCCCACCATTTTCCAGCCATTCCCACATGGAATTCCATGCAACGTGCCCGATACCCGGGGCCGCAGGGCATCTCCATCGCCTCCTGCCTCTTCCCTCCTGCCCCGTTTTCCCTGTTTTCTTGCGGAAAGGGGGAATTTTGCACGTCTTGCTCCTCCCAAGCGCTGGCCCGGGTCACTAGGGTTAATTGATACCAGAGTTAATTGGTAACTACGACCGTAACTGAATAATCCCGTTTAATCGGCCGCCCGGCGCGTGATCCAAAGGGATCCAAGGAGCCGGAATGCCAAGGGCAGGACACGCTGGCCTGTCCCCATCCCATCAACACGTATCCTTCAATTCCATGTCTCCTGGCCAAGCTGTGCCAGAGGAAACCTCCCTTTTCCCGTATGGAGCATCCATGGGAGCGAAGGCTCCAATGGGGGCTCCAGGATCTCCCTGGAATCCGGGTTAAGGCACTTCCCAAAGTTGGGTGAGGAGGAAGGGAGTAAAAACCCGTTCATTTTTTATGGAAAGAGCTTGAATAAAGGTGAGTGCGGGAAGGCCCCTCTTTAGCGAGCAGCTTCCAAAGGCTGAATGTGGAAAAGGGAATTCCGGAGCTGAATGGAAGCGGATGGGCCGGGATGGGGGCTCTCCGTGCCCCCGGTTTCTCCGGAATGCCGGGTCTCTTTAGGATCTCTGGGGGTGTTTCGCTGTGCGGAGCCCCTTTGGTCTATCCCGGAGCGCATCCCAACCCGGGCCGGGCTCTCCAAGGAAGCGCCCGGGATGCAGCTCGACATTCCCGGGATGCGCCGGATCCCGCGGCAGCTCCTCCCGGAGCGATCCCGGCGCTGCAGCCGTGCGGCCTCCCCGTCCGCCTGTTCCCGGGCTTTCCAAGGGCTTCCTGCCGGAGCGCCGGCTGCCCGCATTGCCCCGGGGATC